GCACCACCCCCCAAAAGAGCCATATTACAACTGAACTGATACGTTGTACCCTTTTTTGTGGATACATTCATAGTATTTTCCATAGACTGCCAGGACTATGAGCCACAGCTATACTTCTGATTTCAGACAACAGTTGAGAGTCATTAAGAGTGCTTGCTGATCTTGATAGTGATCGATCCTGTTATATCCAGACCCCTGCACCACCCCCAAAAGAGCCATATTACAACTGAACTGATATGTTGTACCCTTTTTTGTGGATACATTCATAGTATTTTCCATAGACTGCCAGGACTATGAGCCACAGCTATACTTCTGATTTCAGACAACAGTTGAGAGTCATTAAGAGTGCTTGCTGATCTTGCAGTGGACCAGAGTTCCCAAAACCCATGCTAGGCATCTCACAACCACCTGTAACTATGGTTCCAGGGTATCCAACACCCTCTTCTGGCCTCCTTGGGTACCCATTCATATATATGCCTGCACACAGATACACACCTAGAAGGGGATGGATGTGCTGTTGTGTCCAGCTGCAGGAAAGACTCCTTCAGAGTTGCCTTCTGTTATTTCATGGAAATATCTCTTCCTTACAACTTTTAGTCTCTATTCTCTTGAATTTGACTGTAGAATTTTTTCTTGTGTGACATATACAGTGTCTGTCTGAGTGATGGTGCTGCCCATTGGGAAGTAGAACAGCTAACATTCTGTTGCTGATGATGCTCATTTCTGTGTTTGTACCAGTCTTTATTCTCTTGAATTTGACTGTAGAATTTTTTCCTGTGTGACACATACAGTGTCTGTCTGAGTGATGGTGCTGCCCATTGGGAAGTAGAACAGCTAACATTCTGTTGCTGATGATGCTCATTTCTGTGTTTGTACATCCCTGTTCCAGGTGAGAAGCAGGCCTTTGATGTCAGAGGTACCTCACAGTAACAATGGGTCAAGGGCTCAAGAGTCTGATCTGTGTCTTATCTTCCAGGAGGTGAATAGTAAGGCCCTAAATGTGAGTTGGAGGTGGGCAACTCATTTAGGAGAGAGGCATCTCTAGCAGACTAGTACAACAGGTACCAGCTTTATGACTTAAGAAAACAGGAAAAGTTTCTCTCTGGCAGGTATACCCAGACAAAGTCAGATTCTAGTCTTTGGGAGGATAACTAGATGGAAGGCAATCATATTTAATCAATACCTTTGCTTTGGACTTTAAAGAATAAGACTGGGGACTTAAGAGATGGCTCAATGTTTGAGGGCACTTGCAAGATATTCATGGAGCAGAGTTAAAATATCAACACCTACATAACAAGATTGGCATCCAGCAAATGTCTGCAACTTCAGCTCCAAAGGATCTGATCATCATTCTGGCTCCTCTACACACATACCTGTACATATACTCCCTCACAAACAATAAACGTGTTCTCTCTCTTATACACAAACACATACACATAAATACAGTTAATCTCAACAAAAAATACCAAGGCTCCTTGGAAGCACATGAAACCCCAGCTTTTCTGACAGGTCCAGCTGGAACCCAAACCATTTGCACACCGAACCCCATCGTCCTCACCACGCTTTCATGCCTCCCTACCTCTGTCCAAGGCTGCAGGATAATCCATTCCATCTCTGGCCATTTGTCAGATTCCTTTGGTACTGTCCTTCCCCAATAGTTCAATTCTCCTCCTGACATTCTCTATTTGTGTGAGGGTTTTCTGTTTCTTTTATCTGGGTTGGCATTCTTTTTCAAGGCCAGTCAGGTTACTATAAAAACAAACCATAAAAGCCTCAGTTCATCAACTAAAGTATGCCATTTAGGGGA